GCTATATTCTAGTGAAGTTTCAGAAGCAACGGGCTCTGTGTAACCGCCTGCCTATTATACAAATGACTGTTGCACAAAATGAGTGTCCATTATGCTGATAACACAACACTTGCAGATGTTTTTGTCCAAATAATTCGCCTATCTTACAAATTAAAAAATATGAACAATAATGATATGACTGGACTCCAACAACATGCCATCAATGCCTTTAATAAAAGGTGGGATGAGTTTGAGATTGGTCCATATATACTGGCATATTTCTTGGACCCTGCTTATAGAGGTTAATTTTCTTTATATATATATATCATTAAGAGATTGATTAGTTTAATTTTTAATTCTTTAATTTTTTTATTTGTAATAATAGATGCAGGCATCAAAAAGGGAAAATATCAAATTGTGGTTAAAGCAGCAAGTGAGATTTGGCAGAAGTTTGGTAACAACAAAGCATCATTAGAAATTTTATTATCACAAATGCGACTTTATAAATTATACAAACCTCCATATAATGAGATGTATGTTTTTTCAAGTGATACACCTAAAATCTGGTGGAATTCTGTAGATACTACCCATGATTGTTTACAAAAATTGGCAATTTTAATTCATGATATCACTCCAAACAGCGCTGCATGTGAAAGAACTTTTTCTACCCTTGGTTGGATATATGGCAAAAGGCGTTTACGTTTGACCATCTCAAAAATAGAAAGTATGGCAAAGATAAGATCATATTATCTTTCAACAATCAATAAAGAATTAAAATATCCAGGTGAAAACATCAGTGCTTTAGAATTAAAATCTTTAGTTGAAGAAACATTAGATGATCAAGAGGAGGAGGAAGATTTAGAAGAAGTGGAAGAAGAGGAGGTGGAGGATAATCAATAAATGAAGAACCAATAGTTCCAAATCATCAAGTATTTGTGGTTATTGAAAACTTTTTTGAATTGAATGAAGTTCCATTTGTTTTGGATCCAGATGATATTGATGATAATGATGGTTCAAGTTTGGAGAACAATATGAATGATGAAGTTGGTGAATCAAATGAAGATTGTACAAATGATTATGATTTGGATGATGTGGTGCAAAATTATGTAGATTAATTATGGGTTATACGTTAAATTTTTGATTATAATGTATTTTATATATTTTTTTATAAGATTGATTATGGATTTATATATTTTTATTAAATTTTAATAATAAAATTATTCATTATTATTTTATGTAAGTTGTTAGCTGAATTTGAAATATTTAGGCATTGTCCAAATCTGAAACTATTTCAGACAAATAAATTTCAACTATATAAAACTTAGTTAAAGTATTAAAATATAAAAATAATAAAAATTCAATTATAAAAATTAACGAGTTTAATTGCTAAAACATTATAAATTTGATGTATAAAAAAATGATTAAAATGATTTAAAAATAAAAACCAAAAATATAAAAAACTTTTTCTAAATCAAATCTTTTTCTATCACAACAAATACACCATGATTGGGAACCTCTAATCTCACTTTAGCCATGCCTCCTACTTTTGATACATTGAGACAAAGACATTTTTTATTGTATATCCATCCAAGAGTTGAGAAAACTCTTTCACACACAGCACTATGTGGTATAATATCACTACATTAAAAGTTGTAGATTTTTACATGGATCATCTACTGAGAACCACCAAACTTTTGATGTTCCATTTGAAAAAAAACAATTATTATCATATGATGATATCTTTAGTTTATATTTACACATCTATGACAAGAATATTTCTTCTGATTTCAGGCAGCTATCTATACTTTTCCATATTTCATGTGCTGCCTCAAATATCAATTTGTATTGTTCTATTTTGATGCCAACATTTATTTAATTAATAATAATAATAATTAATACTTCAAAAATATTAACATTAAAAAAAGAATAAATATTAAAAATTATTACTGACCAATGATTGATTTGATAGCCAAGTTCACAAAATGAGCTATGCATCTAAGATTACATGCAAGCTTAACATTAGCACCATTATTGCTTTAAATTTAACAACTCCAATTTTATTGAGAGCTGGAGTGGTCATAAAGACAATATAAATATTGATTTTTTTGTGGCATTAAAATGATAAAATTGTATATGGGAAATGACCACTCATCTAATACTGAAATATATATAAAATATTAGTGCAACAAAATTAAATTATTATTTTGCAATCATTTACCAATAGTAAGGTTTTTCCAACTTCTAATTCTTTATCAATTCTATTATTTACTCTGGAAATCTCTTTGCACACCAAGTTTTCTGACAATTTTGTGTAGGATTTTCTTATTATAGATTGACATGATAATCTTTACCAAATATGTAATTCGGCATTTCGGAAACAATTCTGCATTTCGGGAATATTTCAGCATTTCAGAATTTTGAATTTTAAAAATCAACTTCTGAAATTATTTTCGGATTCGGCAATGCTGAATATTTCGGATTTGGCAAACATCCTTAATCTGCATACTTCATTTCTAAATTTGGTAATAGATTCCGCATTACCTTCTTGTTATGGAAATAAAATTATCAATTTAGGGAGTAAACGGCTTTGCCGGCTAAGGATTTTTAAATGACTAACATCACTACCCCCAAAAATTGCAGGAAACTGCCATGGCGGTGTTCAATTACTTTGTAGGTCTTGGTAAAATTGAATTTGGATTGGAGGAGGGTTCTGTGATTGTAAATATAATCAATGATATTGTGAGATTGTAAACCGTGGACCAACCAATTGACCGTTAATATTGACCAATTAGAACGAACTTACTATGGAAGTCATGTGATGCGCTAAATATTACATCACGATTAACAATCATCTTTCTATATTTATTGCAACGATTGCACGTCATGTTACACGTGTAGATCATTACATCATTTCTATTTTAACTTATTTTATGACATAATTATTTATTTCGAATTATTAATCAAATTATTTGTAATAATGACTCATAGGATTAGTAATTATGAGTCAGAGCATTAGTAATTAGCAATTAGTAAGCTAGTAATACAGAAAATAGGATTAATAAGCATATTTTATTGGATAAAATATTGTAAAGGTCATGTTATTTGTAATACCTCAAGAGGTATAAAAAGGCTTGGTTTTAGACCAAGTGAGAGGGGAGATCGTGTTAATAACATTAATAATAATTGAATAAATAATTCCCCCTCATTGTTAATAATTAAATAAACACATTTTACCTTATTACGAATTTTTGCATAGTTAATAGGAAAAGCCATTGTGAATTGTTCCATGGTCCTCTCTGATGATTAGTGGCTGGCCACTAATCATTAGTTAGAAACCCCCCATTTGATTGTTCTATGCTGCTTGTAGGGACGCCTCAAGTGGTATAGTTGTAAATATTTCTTGTATATATTCTTTTTATTTTATTTTATTTATCATTTTTAGGCCAGCAGTACTTCTATTAGTACTGTAGAGAGAATTGCGCAATAGAGTTTTGAGTAGACTCTGAGCTGTGTGCTGTAACAGAGGCCGGAATTTGAGAACCCTGAGCTGTGTGCCATAACAGGGAGATTTATATATTGGACTTTTATTTTATTTTATCTTATATATTTTATTGGACACAACCTGAGCTGTAATTGAATTTACACGCTTGCAATACAAAGAATTTTTGGAATCATTTGGCTACTTTGGGAAACAATGGTGCTTTTGATAAAAAAGAAGTATTTATTGGTCTATGTGAAATTTTTGTATAGGTTTCTACAAGAGTCTCAGAAGGAAAGTCACTACAAAATATAAAATACCCTTCCCAATTTACAAATTTTTTAGCAATATTACCAAGTACTAGTCCACAAGATATCATTTGTTTCAAGAAAATCTTGCAGGAAGGTCATTAAGAAATCTCAGGTAAATATCTAAGTAAATTTAAATAAATATCAATCTTTTATCTTAGATATTAAATTTTACTTTTATTTTTATAGACTTCTTAGAACAAATTCAGATTTATCATTAAATGATCCCAGAATATGTCATGAAAATATGTGCAAATTTAAACAATTTCTTGATGGTATTAAATATAGTGGTCCTATTGCTGCATCTACAGACAATACAAAACTATCAATGAAACAGAGCTAGCTGGCATGATGGCAAAATTTGAGGAACTTGACTTAAAAGATGATATAGATGAAGTATTTCAGATAATATGGTTTTGGTTAATAATCATTTTGTTGGAAATAATTTATCAGAAGATATATTATTGAAG